AATGTTAATGAGCTCTGCTGACCCCGCCCCTCTCTTCCAAGCTGCTCTCAGAGAGACTGTTTACTTTAGCCGCATTCATCCTGAAACTTGCTAATTAGCACATTATTAGGAAAGGCGATTTGCAAAGATTCTTTAAAAAACCTTTTACTCACTTCTTCTGTGGGTGAAGCTGGATCACGAATGATTCGCGCGAACATAGACACATTTATGTAGATCGGGGGCGCATTCCCTTCAAAAACAAACATAATCCACTGCGTCTTCAGCGGCTCAGATGTCGGGAGTAAATGACGACTGCTATGTTCATTATTACATCCAACAACAGAACACCTCAATCGCTTAGGAGTCATTCTTGTCTACATCTGCTCCGGTGGTGAAACAATGGCAGACTGATGACAGCTCACTCAGGGCGGGTCTAAGGTAAGACGCCAGTCCAGTCTGTGCTGAAACGCCACTGTCAATCAAACTATCGTGGGAGGGGCCTGTCTGTGTGACGTCAACACACATTTCAGTTCAAACTACTTGTAAAAGTGCATGTAGCATCCTATGACCCCTTTAAGGAATTTATATTTGTGTATACTTTTTTTCTTTTGTTTTGTTTTTATAACTGTACTATAATGGTCTGTTGTTTTGTACTGTTTAATTAAAAAAAAAGAAATCAGAAAAAAGATTTGCGATACGCGCTCCGAAGTCCTGATCTGAATAATGATTCGCGAACCATCATCATTATCATTCGCGAAAGTTTCGAAAAGTTTCACCCATCACTATATGTGCTTTTTAAAATCATTACAAGCGATGTCGAATATCGAAAATGAATGGCTCTTTTGATCTGTTTTTTGCTAGTGGATCGCTCGAACCGAATAATCGAAGTCACGAGTTTGAATCAATCTTTCTTCCACACGACACTCAGTACTACTACTGGCTTAGCTCGTTAGTTTTATGACATTAACTGAAATGAGAGAAAAAGCGTGATGTTTACAAATAAAATATCAATATTTCCATTCCAAAGATAACATTCAACACAAATCTACGATCATATTCAGGTGAGGTAACCGATTTACTGCTAGCTAGTGAAAACACTACATTAAAATGACGAGCTGCACCTCACAAATACATGTGAGATGAAAACATTGTGCATTATGATCGAGTTTGTAGCTTAATTCAATGTATTTTATATGACCTCCATCCAAAGTCAATCACCTTGGGAAAGTATATATCTTAATCATCAGGAACAGTGTGTACAATATCCATCTACAGTATAACTATGTCAGCCTAGTCTGAATATGGCTTTTTCTAAATAGATTGTGGATATGGATGTATGAATTGGGATGTGTTTTATTGTGTGTATTAAATTGACTGATATTCAGTGTGGTGCTTGTGGTTCTATTCTATTTAATTCTATTCTCTTATTCCTTTTTTTGTCTTTTCTGTTCCCTAGAATAATTTTTTTAATTCTGAAACTTTTGATAGCACCTTTCATTGTGTTTTAAATAACCTTTTCCCTCATTTTTAATGGTACTGCAATGTTATGTTTGCAGAATGTCATTGTTTTTGCTTGTCCTTTTCTAGACATTTAAATTTTTCCTATAAAACAGATTAAAAGAACATGAGGGAAATTCTACCTTTTTTAAATCATTTTGTTTAAAATGCATCATTTTTTAAATAACACTGAATCACGGATCCCAATACTGCTGTCTTTACCATCACAAGTATTTTCTAAGTAAGATTTCTACATTTTATAGAACAGCATTTTTACATTACAATCTGAGAGCTTATCAAATTGGGCAGTATCTGAGAATTTTATTATTAAACAGATATTTTTTTTAATGATATACTAATTTGTGTTAGCAAGACCAAGGTTTATCTAAGCTTGGTTGACCAAGGCCATGTTCTTTTTTCCAGGACATGCAATAATATGTTCTTTAACAGATGGAGTTTTATGACAGAATCTCTTCTGATGTCTTCCTATAGCTGCGTTCTATCCAAGATCTGCAGACGGTTCAGACGATTAAGATTCTGCGATATGAGAAGAAAGTGGCGGTGATGTTCCTAATGATGATCTCCTGTTTCCTGGTGTGCTGGACGCCCTATGCTGTGGTCTCCATGCTGGAGGCTTTTGGCTGGAAGAGTTTCGTCTCCCCCACGGTTGCCATCATTCCCTCTCTCTTCGCCAAATCCAGCACTGCCTACAACCCCGTCATCTGCACCTTCATGAGCAGAAAGGTCAGCAGAAGTCACTCAATTCAAATGGAAGGGCATTTAGTGAGGGTATTTATTATATTATATAGGCAGGCCTGTGACATCACAATAGGACATACAGAATAATTTCACAAATAATTATAAAGAAACTGCAAGTAACACATTGAATTAAACATGACACTTTGAAAGACTGATATAGTATTTTCTTGTGAAACTCACTCGAATAATCTTTGATAAATATATTTTTTACAGTGTATGTATATGAAACTTACTTTCCTTGTTCTGATTGGTCAGTTTCGCAGGTGTATGTTACAGATGCTGTGTTCTCGTCTGGCCAGTGTGCAGCACAGCATTAAGGACCGTCCCCTGGCCCGCATCGAACATCCTGTACGGCCCATTGTGATGTCACAGAGCCGTCCCAACCGGCCCAAAAAGAGAGTGACCTTCAGCTCTTCCTCCATCGTATTCATCATCGCTAACAATGACACTCTGGATATTACCTCCAAATGCAATCACGAACCAGACATCAACGTAATTCAAGTTCGACCGCTTTGACACTTGCCGTAGTGACATAAAAGAACGACACGAGTTCATTAACATCACACTAATTTAATGTTTATAATATAGGCTACAGGAGATACAGAAACATCTCTTTTTTTATAAATATGGAAACAAGGATTTCTTTATTGTTGCAACATAAACTGACTTTTTTGTGTTCCCAATCAAGACTTGTGTGAATTATATCAATTGTAACTATTTTATGAAAATGACTTGGAGTTATGATTTTCTCCATCTTTTCAGACACTGAAACTTCCACCTTCACCCAGTTTCGTGAGCTGGTGAGATATCCGCAGCTTAGATTGAACAGTCCGTGAGCAGAATACATTAGTGAGTGTGCTCCGATAGATTAGGAGCACAGTGTTAGTACAAGGACTCTTCTAGGACGGGACATTTGTCAAAACTGCAGCACCTCATACATAATGTCAGTCAGGTCTACAGCGCTCCCCTGGAGGAAGCGAAGTATGTGCCCTGTTTGAAAAACACAAGCCAAACATCACTATTTCTACTGGTCAATTTTTGGATTAGGGCTTGAACAAACCCCTAAATATTCAACTTTGGTGAGTTTACCTCAAATCGCGTTATTCTTGAGAAGAACCGTGTTTTCCCTTTTCTATTATAGCGAATATAGGCTACTTAAAAAAAATTCCCCTGACGGGTGATGCACACTCTAAAAAACACTGGGTTAAAAACAACCCAATTTGGGTTATTTTTAACCTAAGGGCTGGGAAAATGTGGGACAGGACACATTTTGGGTTAATTTTACCCAGCAAATTGGGTTGTTTATTTATAATGGTTTGATTCATTTTTACTAAAATACTAGTTTATTTTTTTACTTCATACATGAATTTTACAGTTTAACTTAAATCCTCTAAACATTTGTAAAATTGGCCTACTCCACACAACCACTGATTTGCATGATAACTTTATTTTCAATTATTTACAGCATAGCATGTTTTACATCGTTTTTAACACGACGTAGGCCATACATATTTCCTATATTTAAACTCGTTTAACAAACATTAAAAGTAAATATTAAACAGATTCACGTGTAATCGACCAGTCTCTGTTATCCCGTTTCCACCGGAACGGCGCTGGTTCTCGTGTCCGAGCTGGAATCGCGTTCGGTGGGGAACTGCTAACTTCAGACTGCCGCCCATAAGTAAACACCTAGCAACCACTCAGAACACCCTGGCAACCGCATTATAACACCTCGGAAACCACCCAGAATAGAAGTCTTTAGAAGACAAAAAAACTCATATAGAAATGTATGGTAAGGTGCGATTACATTGGCAAAATTTCGCGGTCAAAAATGCTTAGATGTGGAGCAGAGTTCACACACAAGACGCTTTCAAACCAAACGGATTTAAAGGGGTCATATGATGTTGCTAAAAAAGAACATTATTTTGTGTATTTGGTGTAATGAAATGTGTTTATGCGGTTTAAAGTAAAAAAAACACATTATTTTCCACATACTGTACATTATTGTTTCTCCTTTATGCCCCGCCTTTCTGAAACGTGTCGATTTTTACAAAGTTCATCAGTCTGAAAAGTGAGGTGTGCTCTGATTGGCCAGCTATCCAGTGCGTTGCGATTGGCCGAATATCTCAAGCGTGTCACGGAAATGTTACGCCCCTTACCATACATACCATGTCCAGGCCGGAGCAACAAGACAAAAAAACATTAAAACCCATTATAAAAGAGGCATTTGTTGCATCCAGTGGGGACATAATTACGGATTATAATGATTTATACTGTCTTTTTACGCATTGCATTGCATCGCGCCGCATAAACATAAAACCATGTCTGCATTTGTGATCGGAGAAATGACAAACTACATGTGCTACTCTACACTGCTCAAAACTCGCGTTTGAATCGTCAGTGGCAAATCCTTTAAATATGAAAACTTACT